AAATTCAAGTTCACAACCCATCAAAAAGAGCTTGTAGTTGGTGGTTACCTTTTTAAACACTGAAATCATTTAATTGCCAAGAAACAGAGCGTCACACTGTTTAAAACAGAGGAGTGATCGTTCAACATCAATGAAAACCTCAGAACAAGAACCAAAGCTAACAAAACATCCAAAAATAAAAGTAATCAAATCTGAATGTTACATGCTTAAAATATCTAAAAGCCACTGCAATAAGAGGAGCGAAAGTCGGTTATTGATCCTCTGTACAAATTATATATGAATACTAATCTCCACAACGTTATCCAGTTACATCAATAACCAGATCATAATAGAGAGGGTGGGTGGACTCTGACTTTTCAAGATCAGAAAGAGCAACCTGGCACAAAATCCTGTTGAATCAATTCTTAAACTAATTTCAGAAAAATTGAACTAGAAGAACACCAATCGCAAAACTTAATTTCAACAAGTCTTTANTTAACTCATATTCATAAAACCCCNAAAAGCAGGAAATTAACATCAAAACAACAGATCAAAAATCCACCAAATCAAAATCAAAATCAAACCGGGAAAGAGAACGAGGAATCAGAAACGTAAGCGGATGTGCATCGCAATCATGTTCACCAAATCGAATNNGTGTCGGACTACAATTTCNNGNAGGAAGAATCACTCGTTCCTTGACGAAAGGACGATACGCTCATATACTTAGGTGGTGGAGCTCCGATTTACATGGCCACCGTTCTGAGTACCTCGCCGGCATGGTTTTGGTGCCATCGAGAGCGAGAGCGAGAGACGAGACAGATGAAGAAACTTTAGGATTTTGAATTTTTTTTTGTTATTGAACAAGGGTAGTTTAGTCAGTTTACCAAAAAATAGTGGCATAATTACAAAAACACCTTTTCAGATGGCATGCTTGTAAAGTTGACATTGGTTTGTGTCATTTTTGTAAATGTCCCAAAAATAAAATGTCATCGATTCACAAAAATTATCTTTTTAGCGTTTTGTGTTAATTCAACAGTTCAAATGTTTTCTTTATTATATTAGTTCGCTGTTCATCTAGTGGTCACATTATCTTTATAACTTGAAGGCAAAAGCTAAACGCAAATAGGGAAAAAAAATCGTATGGTTTTTATGATTTTACAAAAGCATGTTATGAAAAGTTGAAAATGTGTTATTTTTTACATCTAAAACAATCAGGATAAATTGTTGGAAATGATAAGAAATTGGCAGTATACATGGACTTCTCTATTGTAATTTCAAGGTTGTCTAAACTCATTTCTAAATTGTGGTGTTGTCGTTTGTCATGGTTTAGCAGGGAGCTTCTAGTGTCAGATCTATTTTCCTTGACTTGTCTGATATAATAAGGAAAATGAGCTTCAACAGCCATGTTTTCGCCACGATGGGGGATCTACGATATCTCAAAATCTACAACACTAATTGTCCTCAAGAATTTGAAGGTGACATTAAACTAAACTTCCCTGAAGGACTCCAACTACCATTGAATGAAGTGCGATATCTCCACTGGTTGAAATTCCCGTTAAAAGAAGTTCCATCAGATTTCAACCCGGATAATTTGGTTGACCTTAAGCTTCCTTACAGCGAGATTGAACGAGTTTGGGAGCATAACATGGTATGTGACATATACATGAGTTTTTAACATCTTGTGAGATTAT